GGGGCAGGCAAGGCGGGGCTCGGGGGGGGGGGGGAGGGCGCAGCGGGGTCCGCGGGGACCCGGCGCCAGGGCCGCTCGAGGCCGTCGGGGGGCGACCCGGCGCGAAGCACCGCGCCGACCCCGGGGGCCGGGCCGCCGCCGCCCCTGCCCGTACCTTGGCGCTCAGCTCGGCCGCTGCCTCCACGCTCTTCTCCGACATGGTGCCGGGGCCGGGGCTGGCGGGGAGCCGGGGTCCCGGGGCCGAGGCGGAGGGGCCCTGGACGGCGGAGGGTGGCCGCGGCCGGAACTTGGCGCGGTGGCGGCGGCGGCAGCGGCAGCGACGGCCGCTCGGCGAGCTGGCTCGCTGCAAGAGGCGGCAGAGGCGCGCGGGGTGGGGCGGGGGTGGGTCCCGAGCTGAGACCCGCAGGGCTGCGGCCGTCCGGAGGGCGGGCGGGAGGGCGATGCGGGCGGTGGCCGGCGAGCTCCGGTCGCGGTCGCTCGGTCTTGCTCGCCGCCCCCGCACCAGCAGAGCTGCCGCCGACCAGCCGCTGCCGCCCCCGGGAAGGGAACCCGCTTTTAAGGCGGCGCTGCCCGACGGGAGGGGCTTCCCAGGGGTGGGGCAGGCGGGAGCGGGGAGGAGAGGAGAGGGGAGGGGGATGAAAGAGGAGGTTGGAGAGGTGGGGATAGGAGGATGAAAGCGAAGGGCGGGAGAGCGAGCGGGGCGGGAGGAAGGACGAGACCGGGAGGGGGGAAATGGAGAGACTGACGGCTCGGGAGAGAGCGGAGTGGGGCGAGGAGGTGGGAAGGGGTGGGGTTCCAGCGGGAGACACCGTCCAAATGCCAGCCTACTGCCTGCGAGCTGGAGTCTGGCTCCTGGGGGCGCACGAAGAGGTGGCCAGACTCCTGCTGACCTCCTCAGAGCCCTGAGATTTTGCTGAAGGGCGGGAGCAGATGGAGAGGCTGGGCAGGTGAAAGACGAGGGAAAAGGCTGCCAGCCACTTCCATTTCTCGCTCTCGTCCACCTTCTCTAGGTGGCCTTGAGGGGGAAAGGGAGAGTGCAAAGGACAGCCTCTCTCGGAGGGACTTGACATTCGTGGTCCTTCAGTGGGTCCCTTCCCATCTGTTTCCTGTGTTCTGTGGGGAGTGAGAGGCCCTCCTACCCTCTCCTCTCCCTCTTTATCCTATCTTACCTGTGTCGCCTCACTTGCCTGCTCCTTCTGTTTCTCTTCACCTCTCTTCATTCATATAGACCAAGACCCCTCCCTTACAGCCATCTACATCTTTTTTTTCCTACCTCGTGTGTCTCTTTACTGTTCCACAGACAGCACTGTTGTCTTACCTGACTCAGTCACCTGGCCCTGTAAACTTAGCTGATCTCCTCCCTGTCCTTTTACATTTTTCCTTGATTTGCTCTTCTCTGTCCTCTGCTGCCATCTTCTCTAGCCTTTCTGTATTCAGCGGGCCTCCTTTGCAAACACAGGACCAGATCTGGGGTTGCAAGCACGCATCCTCAGTGCCGCACCCCTGGGTTCAGCATCTTTGGATCATTTTGAGAATCCTAGCATTTCAGAAAGAAACAGGGACTGGGATGTGAATTTGAAGTCAGAAAGGTGGATGAGGTAGAAGGCGACTTCGGATTATCTTCGGTGTTTGTGTGTGTCGTAATATTTGTCATCATTATTCTTCACCTTTTGCAAATCATTTTCTTAAGAAAAACATCATTTTTTTAGCCAGATGACCTATTCCAACAATTGGGAAGCTGAGGCAGGAGGACTGCCATTAGTTTGAGAGCATCTTGGGGCAACACAGGGAGACATCTTGCCCCTTCCCCAAAAAATAATAGAAAAAAAAGAGAAGAAAAGCCATTGTTGATCTTCCATCCCCATCATTTAGGATGTGAGTGTGTCAACACACCATCTTTTGGTCCCTTGTACACACCTCCTGGTTTCTCAGACTCTTAATTCGGTTTCTTGGTCTCATAAATCATGGAGCCCGACCCTGGATTTTTCCTAGCAGGATTCGGTCCACCTTTTCCCTGAGATCGGTCCATTTCCCCTTTTCAATGCGCTCCGCAGACTTCAGTGACGGATGTCTTTAGCGATATCTCACCGTACCCATCTCGGTACCCTCTCTTGCTTCATTTATCTCTCTCCTCCCCCTCTTCCCCCCACCCCAGACTCGCTCCCTCCGGGTTGGACCTCTTTCCTCTCCCTCCCGCCTCCTTTTTTTTCTCTGCCATCTACTCCACCTCCCTGCCCCGCCTGCTGTCTCGGACACCCTGCTGGGCTCTTACCCTGTTGCCCTGGTAACCGCCCTCAACTCCGGTCACCTCCACTCCCCTCCCCCCTCCAATCACCGCCACCAACAACCTCCATCCACCTTCCTCCTGTTTTTCCTGAGAGCCAATAGAAACCCTGTTGCCAGGTGGAATGCTCATTTGAATCAGCCAATCCAGGAGCCTAACTGCTTGCCCTGCCTTATAAGGGGATGTGAGGAGGGCCACTCCCCCCACTCCCGCCCCACAGGGGACGAGCCCCTCCGCTGTCCTTTCTCTCCCGCCTAGGAAGGCGCTAGGGACCCTCTAGTCTACCTTCTCGTAAAGGGCCTGGCTCCCTATTTCTCTAAATGGGACCACCGGGGTTGCTGTGAGGTGTGGGACGGACCGTGGGGAATGGGCTGGACTGTGGGCTGGGCCTCAAGGCTGGGGGTGGGAATGAGGTGTGATTAGGGAAGGGGAGGCGGAGGGAGCCGGGAATTTTGCCCAGGGAGGGGTGTCTGGGAGCGGAGGCAGCTGCAGTGGAAAATTCCAGGGAGATGGCGAGGCTGAGAATGGGAATCCTACCCCTAGGCCCAAGGGAGTGCTGGGGGAAATTCTGCAAGGCTGGGGGGGCGCATCCTAATCCCCTCTTGTGGATAATGGAGGAAGAACCCATTATCTTTTTCTGTCTGGTTAGACCACAGACCAGTGTCCTGAAGTTTGGCTTTATGAGGAAGCAGCTAGGAGACTTGGGGTGACGGGGCGGCCCTTTAAAGTCTGACTCTGTGCTTGGGGGTCAGTGATGTCAAATGCCTCCGTTTGCGCCTTTCCATAGAAGTGCTTCTGAGGTTTTGTGGAGGCCTGCCTATTCCTAGAATTATATTACTCTACAGTGCAATTGAGAAATTTCCCACGAGTTGAATGGGGGTAAAAAAAAAAAAAAAAAAAAAAAACCTGTGTTTACACATTTTCTGAAAGTGGGAAAAAGGAGAGACCAGGCGAGAACAAGAAAGGCCAGAGCCCCTAGAAGCTCTGACATCTGGCCGAGTTCCTAGAAGTTGCTCTTGCTGAAGTGTGGAAGGTGTGCTCTTCTAATTGCTGCAGTCTCATCTTAGTGAAGTCTCCAGCTTCCTTGACCCGCCTGTGTCTGTGGCTACTGTATGTTTACCTCAGGTGAACGCTAAGGAAAACCGCTAAGAAGTCTTGAGAGTTGGCCCATCTCCCTCACCTTTTATTAAATCCTAATTTCACTCCCAGGGACCACGTGTTTTTTATCTCCCATTTTTCTTTCATATTAAACAGACAAGCAAAAAACTCAAGTGAAGAGAGAGGAGATGGACATTTAAAAATCAGCTAAGCTTTTTTTTTTTTTTTTTTTTTTGACAGCCTTTTTCTGTGTGGCCTTGGCTGTCCTGGACTTGCTTTGTAGACCTGGATGGCCTGGAACTCAGACAGCCACCTGCCTCTCTGAGTGCTGAGATTACAGGTGTGTGCCACCAAGCCTGGCTCTGGCCTTTTTTTTTTTTTTTAAGGAAGGAAAGGTGTGTTCTGGTTTACAGTTCCCTGGTGATGCAATCTATCATGGCAGGCAAGACAGCTATGGTAGCCAGAGCAAGAGGCAGCGGCTTTCGTTAGATTCAAAGGAAGGAGTAATGCTTGCTTGTGCTTAGCTCATGTTGTCCTTTTATTGTTGTTCTTTATTTTATACGCGTGGGTGTTTTGCCTGCATGTGTGTCTCTGCACTGATTATGTTCCTGTTCCCGCCAGGAGGCCAGAAGAGGGTATCTGAAACCCTGGAACTGGAGTGCGAGCCTCCATGTGGATGATGGGAATCAAACCAGATTCTCTGGAAGAGCAGGCAGTGCTCTTCACAGCTGAGCTATCTCTCCAAAGCCTTCCCTTTTTTTTTTTTTTTTTTTTTTTTGAGACAGGCGTCTCACTGGCCTCATCAGAACAGAGAGCTCTCTGCTTCTGCCTCCCCAAAATTGGGATTAAAGGCATGTGCCGCCACGAGAGTGTGTGTGTGTGTGTGTGTGTGTGTGTGTGTGTGTGTGTGTGTGTGTTCAGGTGCCCTTAGACGTCTGAAGAGGACTGGCATTTCCTGAAGCTGCAGTTGTGAGCCACTGGACATGGGTGCCGAGAATTGAACTTGGGACTTCTGTTAGAACAGCAGGTGCTTGTAATCACTGAACCATCTCTCCAGGCGTCCCCCACCCCAAAGCCTGCCTTCTTCTTTTTATTCTTATATATATAGAGAGAGGGCATGGTGGAACATGGCTGTAGTTCCCATACTTGAGAAGTGGAGGCAGGAGGATCGGTAGTTAAAGGTTAAGCTTGGCTGCATACTGAGTTGGAGGTGATGCCAGGTTGGGCTATGTAAGACCCTGTTTCAACAGACAGGCAAGCAAACAAGAAAAGTAACTTTCACAAAGAGTGGTAATACATCACTGCAGTTCCAGTGTCCTGGAGCCTGAGGCAGGAGGAAAACCTTCAATCAAGGTCTGCCTGGGTTACACAGAGAACGCCATGCCAGCGAAGGCAAGACCCTGTCCCAAGAAAATGACAAAAAAGAAATCGCCCTCAAAACACAGTCATACCACGTGTAATTAGTCTGACTGAAAGAGAGAATGAAAACGATTTGCAAGTTTAAAAAGAAGTTTCATTGGTCTTATCCACCACCAAAATTCTGATCCGATATAAGTCAATTCTAGCAGAAGAAATTTACCTTTCCATTGTGCCTCCATGCTAACCTTAAATATTTTATTTCTCTCAAGACAGGGTTATTCTGTATAGCCTTGGCTCGCTCTGTAGACCAGGCTGGCCTCGAACTCAGAGATCTGCCTCCCAAGTGTTGGGATTAAAGGCGCTTGCCACCATGCTCTGCTCAAGCTTTAATCTTAAACCAGACATGATGGCACACACTTGTAATGGTCAGTGCATTATCAGATTATATCCCTTTTAGGATATACTTTAAATTTTTTTAATTATTTTTTAAATTATTTTTATATGTGTGTGGGGGGGGCTGTCTTGCCTGCCTGTGGTCCTTCAGAGACCAGAAGATGGTTGGAGTTACAAGCAGTTTTGAGCCATCCTGAGGCTGCTGGAAATGGAACTCAGGTCCTCTGGAAGAGCAGCCACTGCCCCTCACCTCTGCCATCTTTCCAGCCCCTAGGCTATGCTTTGATATGAAGAGCTCTTGATCTATAATCCTTCTGGGCAGGAACCTTGTCTTTTGCATTCAGCTTTCTCTCTCTGCCTGCCGTATACCACAGTCCCTAACAGCTACACAGAGGTCATTTAAAGTTTACTAAAGTCTACCTGTTATGTTTTTGTCTCTGTATTTGCTGAGGATAGAATCTGAGACCACATGCCCTAGGAGGTCCACCACTTAGCTATATCCCCAGCTGTTCTGATTTACTTTTTATTTTTGTTTTATTCTGAGACAGTCTCTTGGATCCCAGGCTGACCTCCAAGTCCATATGTAACAAGGATGGTCTTGAATTTCTTTCTTTTTCTTTAGTTTTTATTTATTTTATTTTTGGTTTTTTGAGACAGGGTTTCTCTGTGTAACAGAGTCCTGGCAATCCTGGACTTACTTTATAGATCAGGCTGGCCTCGAACTCGCAGAAATCTGCCTGCCTCTGCCTCCTGAGTGCTGGGACTAAGGGCCTATGCCACCACAACCGGGTAATCTTGAATTTCTGACCCTCATCCATCACCTTCTAAGTGCTGGGGTGACATACTGAACCACCAAGCCCATTTTTATATAGTACTGGAGACTGAACCCAGGACTTAGGATGCATGTTAGGAAAGCGCTCTGCCAGCTCAACTTCATCCCCAGCCTGGTTTGGCTTTTTTTTTTTTTTTTTTTTTTTTTTTTAAGCAGGGGTTTGACATACAGCTTAAGCTGTCCTTGAACTTTCTGTGTAGCTGAACTCACTATATTTAGGCTGGCCTTGTCCTACAAGAGTTTTAGTGCTTTTCCATTTCTTCCTGAATGTTCTCCCTAGAAAAGTACTGTTCTCACCCTTGTACTTCTTCAGAACCTTTGGCTGGCTTTCATTATGAGGCAGGGCCTGGCTAAGTAGATCAGGCTAGCCTCAAACCTATAGCGAGCGGTTCCAGGTGTGTGTCAGCAAGCCTTACTCTTTGATTGGCTTTTTTTCACTCTCTGCTTTCTCCTTCACTTGTGCACCTAGAATAATGGACTCTGGCCCAGCTTTCTGCTGCCTTTTCAATTTCTCCCTCATGTTGACTCTTCAAAAGCTTTCATATACTTTCATAAAAATCCATGAGAAAGAGAGCATTCCTAGGTGCTTCGCAGCTCTGCATCACAACTTCCTGTGACAACAGACAAAACAGGAACCGACAGTGTTACACATAGAGCACAAGGCATTCTGCATGCCAGGCAGGTCACTGCCAGCCCTGGAAACAGTCAACTGTTCTCTCCAAAACAATAGACACATGAGATTATTTAATGTGTCAAGAGATGGCTAGCTCAGGGCTTGGGTGTGTTATGGAGTATTTTGCCTCTCCTGCGTGAAGTCCTGAGTTCAGTACTCAGTTCTGCACAAACTAGGTGTGGCAGGCCACTTGCAGAACCCTAGCACGTGAGAGGTAGCATAAGGAGGACGAGGAACTCAAAGTCATCCTTTGGGAGATTGGGAGTTTAAGGCCAGAGTGGCATATATGAGATCCTATCTCAACAACAACAACAATAGTGGCTTGTAGTGAGAATTCTGGAATTTTGATTTCTTAAAAAAAAAAACCAGAAAATTGGAGGTGATTGAGCAGCACTCAGGAGGCAGAGGCAGGTGATCTCTGAATTTGAGGCCAGCCTGGTCTACCAAGCAAGTTCTAA